TCCTGTTTTGAGATCTTTGCCCAAACACGCCCACCAGCACAATAGCTGTCGATCAACTTGGTAGATTTTTTCTAAGGTTTTTTCAGTTCTGGGGATACAGAGCACAAAACAATATGACGTGAACTGTGGTTATTTTAATGTGGTAGTAGTAGTAGACCGTTCTAATCCACATTCAGTCTAGAAGGTGGCGGTAATGCACCTACAGCTGGTTGCCAACCGCCATTAAACAACAAAAGAAGAAGAAGAAGAAGAAGAAGATCCAACACGCTGCTTGATGTTGATTGGTTCGCTCACCACGTGTAGCATCCAATGGTTTTCAGTCTGGTTAGAGCGCCGGAATTCAGACCGGATGTTCCTCGTGTCCGTGTTTGCTGTTGCAGCTCCAGGCAGTGTTTGTGCTTCACATTTCGGATAAGTCATGGAGAGTGTGCCGGTACCGGTGGCGCTCAGCCTGTCGACCTTCGGTCCACAGGCTGCGGGATGATTCCGACCGAGACGCTCAACTCTGCCCTGCGGGTTGGACTCGCCCTCCTGCTGCGGTAAGGACCCGTGTTCTTTTATTCTGTGTTTTCATTATGTATTAAGGTGGTATATTTGACGAAGGTCAGACAGGCTAACGTTGTCACTGTACTGTACATTATAAATACGGTGGCGTGCTGTCATTACAGTTTGTGTTTACATTGTGACCGCGACATGGTCATTGTTTATTGCTGCTGCCAGGCTAATGGCTAATAATACTGGGTCTGTCTATAAATAATGAATTAATACTTTATTAAGGCATATGACAGTTATACATAAGTAAATAGAATGGAAACAAAGGACTATAACATAAAATAAAGAACATAAAAACAAGAACAACATCGAAGCAGACAATGTGAACATGAAACTTACAGGCCAGGGGGTGACTTAAAGGGTTAAGTTAAGTAAAAACATTCAGGGAAGTACATATATTACAAATTTTGATAGCTTTTTTGTTTTCGCTCTTCAGGATGGAGGAGAAAAATTTTTTAATTTCGCATAACAGGGCAGGAAAGAAGGGTTTAGATTCAGAGAGAGCATCCATTTCTTTTCTATTTTGAGACAGAATTCCTTTAAGAGTGTTTTTTTGTTGTTCTTACTTAATGTTACAGTAGCACCTACTGTTGTGAATGTGTGTCACGTATATTGTTTATTGTTTGATGTTGTATTGTTTACTGTTCAAAATTTTGAAAAAATCAATGAAAACATTTGAATAATAATAATACATAAGGTGGGCAGCACGGTGGCACAGTGGTTAGCGCCGTTGCCTCACAACAAGAAGGTTCCAGGTTCGGGCCCCACCTGGGACCTTTCTGTGTGGAGTTTGCATCGAAACAACGGTAACCAATACATGCACAGCTTTCAACAACAGTGTCAAACCCATTTGCACACAACAAAACACATGAACATCGGCGGCCGGTCAGGGTCGCCACAATAATGAATGAATGAATGAAGGCACTTGGTTGGGTTACTTCCCCAGGCGTCCTGCTCTGTGTCAGGGGGAGTTTTTCCTCCCGCTGTGGCCAAGTGCTGCTGAAGGGGGTTTGTTGGGGTTTTCCTCTATTATAACAACATTAATAATAAGGTCTAGACCTGACTGTGTAAAGGGTGCCGAGGTGGTTTTTGTTTACACATAAAGCTGAAATCAAATAGACACAGGTCAGGTCTCCAGCTGTGGAGTCAACTTTGTGTTTAGCATCAGTTTGTCACTATAATAAACAACTAGTGGAAGGATGTGTGTTGTGTTCAGATTCACCCCTAAACAGTCGTTTTGCCAGGAAGCTGCTTTGTTTGACAACAGTGAATTTGTCCAGTTGTTATAACACTGTGGACACTTGTTTTCTACCCCACTGTTGCTTGTGCGTCTTTGTCTGTTTGTGAAGGGGAAACTTGTCTGTAACCTTTGACCTTTAGCGGTCACATCTCTGACCTGAAGCGAAGCCCTTTGGTAGTTTGTGTTGGCTGATCTGCACCAGCTGTTTGCAGGAGGCTTTACATTGATTGGCTTGTTCAAATGTGCTCAGATGTGCTGTACTCAGGTCCAAGTTTGTGCTTATTAGAGCTGCAGCCATTAATCAATTAGTCAATCACGGTAAAGTTGATCTGGTAATCGATGAGAGACGTTGTCACTATAGTTTGCAGTGTCTCAGATGTGAGAAGTTACTGCTTTTCTTCCTCTTAAATTTTAGTTTGGGTCAGACACTTTTCCTCTATTCACTTCTGTTTTTCTAGACAATTAGTCTTAATTTGAGAAAATAATTCATATTGAAAATAATAATTCATGTTGGGTAAGTCTTTTTCTTTCACTTCCAGCCTTTGCTGTAACTGGTCTCTGACTGAGACTAAATATTAAGTAGGGAAAAACAAACAAACCAAAACTCTGAACTAAACGTAATGAACTTGGACTTGAGCTTCAGGAGTTTGGTACAAATCTTAATTTATTTATTCCTTCATTAAAATGTAGACAAATGAACAGAACAAACAGCTTAGCTTTAAGATTGTACTACGTAAAAGGTTTTGGGTGAACTGCTGTGTGTTACTAGTTTACAGCAGTACCACCCTGCAGTGACGACACTATCCAGTCATGTAGACTGAAGTAAAAAACATCTTTACATGTTTTAACATAATTTTGATCACATTCAAACTTTGCATGGTCCCATGAACCAAACGGAGCAAAATGTTCTATGTGAGGTTGAAGGAGGTGATGCGGCAGCGGGTGTCCACTGTGCACATGTCCACAGGCTGGCTTTCCTCCTCGGAGGACGTGCTGATGAACCAGCCGGGGCACTTCGCGGACTCGAACGTGTGCAGAGACTTTCCTGTGGTTCTCCTGAAGAACAGAAAGCGGTCCATGTTTCCGTCGTTGCTGATGCACATTAAACCGTCCGCACTGCATTCCTGGTCGGTAAAGAGAAGATGGTTCTTATTCGTATTTATGTATGGAAGCCAGTAAGAGGAAAATTAAGAACATGGATGAAAATTTACTCGAGAATTTAAAAAAGATAGAGACATATAAAAGACATATCGTGTTAAAGTTATGAAATAAATTAGCTGAATTCTGTGATTTAAAAAAACGTAACTTGAGGCTACTGTCAGAACTAGGATGGTGAGAATGAGCCAAAAACCTCAAAACTATGAGAGAAAACCTGAAAATTGACATTAAAACCCTCAAAATTAAGAAATAAAATCAGTTTTGAAAAATGGGATAAAACCTAAAAATTGAGATAAGACTTTAGTTTAACGAGTACAGTTTACCTAAAAGTATCAAAATTAAAAGTCCTTGCTTTGCAGCGAAATGTCCCTTGGGACTGATGTAGTATTATATGTATTGTTCTTATACACACACAGTATTTGATTCCTGTTACTGATTCATTTATATAAAGGCAACATGTGGATTGACTTAATTTATTTACAGAACAGTTGAGTCGTTGGCTCATCATTTATAAGATTATTTGATTTGATTTGATTTTTATTCTTTCAAACATGTAACGACAGTTGATATGTCAACACACATAATTTCACACATATCCAACAATAATAATCCAATATCAATGTGCTTATACCTAGTACATGCTTGAATGGAGTAGGAAGAAGTCAGACTTATCCAGTCCTACCCCATGACATCATCTTACCATCATTGGTTTGCAAGCAGTATCTCTACATAGATAATTCTCTTCTACACCACACAAGTAATATACTAAAGAATTATAACAGTGTTAACATTCATACACCACACCCACAATGTTCCATGTAATTAATCATTAAACCTGTTCTTGCATATATCTTGATTGACACATACCTTTATATTTATGTTTAAACTCATCAATTCTATTACTATTTTTTATGTCCACACTTAAATTATTCCATAGTTTTACCCCATTTATGGAAATACAAAATCTTTTTTTGGTTGTACATATAGCATGAATTTTTAAATTTAACTGACCCCTTAAATTGTATCCCCCTTTCCTTGCTCACACTTTGTATGTAAAATGTGACAAACAAATGTAGAGGAGTAGCATGTACCTCCAGATTCAGCACAGCTCTGCCGTCTTTCATAGAACAGGAAATGTGCAGGTTATTGTTGACTGACAAGGCGACGGGCTGACCATCGCCACCAGGGCTGGTGACTTTGTTGTTCTTACTTAATGTTACAGTAGCACCTACTGTTGTGAATGTGTGTCACGTATATTGTTTATTGTTTGATGTATTGTTTACTGCAGCGTTGTACTGGTCACTGTTTAGCCTCCATTGTTCAGTAGAAGCACCGATATAACAGCAGAAAATGACTCCATTACAAGTTAAAGCCCTACTTAAGTATTATCAGTACACGTTCTGTAGGAAAACGTCTCCTGTGTGAGATGTGATCGTATGTGACGTTATCAGGCTGTTAATCCTGATGCAGCAAAGCATCAGCAGTATTTTTCTGTTGGAGCTGCTGCAGGTGGAGCTGGATGAAACTACTTTTATATTTAGTTAGTTTAGTCCAGCAGTTCCCAACCTAGGGGTCAGGGCCTTCCACAGGGTCACAAGATAAATCTGAGCGGTCGTGAGATGATTAATCAGAGAAGAAGAAAAGTCTGATACACAAATTAGAAGAAAAGCTTCAAAAATAAATATTTCCCCCTGAAATGTGAAATATAAAGTGGAAATACTTGGGTAAATATGTAGTTAAGTAAATGTGCTAGTCGTCATCAGACCTTTGCTTTCATGGTTTCCTCCCTTTAGAGTGATGGCCTGCAGCTGTAACTCTCCGAATGCACAGACAATGTCTTTCTTTGAGCTGTCACACAGCCTGATCTCCCTCGTGCTGTTGACACGAACGAAGGTGAAGGTTCTCTCTCCTCTGCACGGTTTCTCCACCCTGCTGAAAATAGTTTCTGTGGCGAGGAGGAGGGAGGCATTAATTGTCAGACAACGAGGTGATGAATAAACTCTTATTGCCAGGTTAGCCATCGTTAGCAGTATCAGGTCATAACAACACAATGTGGCTGGGTTTTTCCTCTGTAGTAATAATAACAACAATAGTAGTAGTAGTAAGGTTTAGACCTGACTTTGTAAAGTGCCCTGAGACGACTGTTGTTGTGATTTGGCGCGATACAAAACTGAAATTGAAACTATTAGTTATTTTCCACCGTTGGCCTGATGGGGCTTATGGGAAAAGCTGTTTTTTTTTAAGTCGGCTATAAATAGAATGTATTGTCATTACTAAACACTTGGACTGAAATGCACAACACGGCGTGGAGGAAGGTTGGTGCCACGGCTGTGTTACAGATGTCAGTGGGAGTTTGAATGAGGTGTCTCCACTGCTGGAACCCCAGAACTTCCTGCCTCGCTCTGTAACCTTTAAATGAACGTGGTGTGAAGCTGTGTTCAGTCACTGCCCACCTTCCACCAGGCTGTCCATGATCACACTGCAGAGCTCCTCATCACTGAGGTTCTGCCTGCCGCAATCTAGGGACTTGTTCATCCTCTTCACCGCCATCACCAGCCTGGCCACAGCCTTCATGGTCCTGCGGTTGCAGGAAACCACCATCTCCAGTCCCTCGTTGAGTTCGATGAGCTCATCTTTAACGTCCTACAAAGTAGAGGAGAGCTGAAGGCACAAATCATGTCCTCCTACAGGTATTTCCCCTCATCTGAAGCTTGGCAGGCTGCTGCTGCCAGGGTTTGTGGTGGTGCTTTAAGAATTTAGTGTGACATGAGAATGCAGCTCAGGATATTTGAGGTCGTCTTAATAAAGCATTGTGTGAAAACCAGTGCAAATATAGACTGGGTGCATTTATACAGATGCACTCAGACATATTGAGATTCTCACATAGTGTATAATCACTCAAAAATTTAAAAAAATATCTATGTGAGGTTGTGACAAAAATCACTCTAACATATTTTAACTTTAACACTGTTTAATTCTCATGTACGTGTTCAACCTCTTCTCATTAAGACTTTCAGTGGCACAGGCAGCAGGACAAAGGATAAGAGTTTATCCTCTGAACAAATCCTGTGAAAAGACCAAAACCAGCGATGAATGTATGTAACGGTCAATCCCACAATCCCCTGCTGCTGCAAACTACAGCATCAAAGGTGTGTTAATCCACTGCTGAAACTAGTCCCCAGTGTCCAGCTGTTCAAGGAAAATCATATTCTTTTTTTTTAAGAAACTATTTACACTACTGGCCAAAGGTTTTAGGCCACCTCCAGGTTCCCAGTGGAATCTCTTTAGTGTTGTCAGCTGTTTGCAGCTATTCGTTATGTCCCAGGGAATGTTTGTGTGCTGTTTGAAAGGATAATTACAAACCAGGCATTTTCTTGTTTAAATTGGAGGAGCTGCTGGTTAGATTAGCTGAAACCATTAATGCTGCCAGATTTGTCTTGGGGGTTAAATGCTTAAGAATAGTTTTGTCTTGTTGCCTCAGTCTCGATGCCGAACGTCTGAATCCTTAAATATTTTTAAATTCCCCGATTGTTTGCTGCTGTTCTGGTTTTCTCACCTTCTTCAGGTGCTCATTCAGTCCACCTCCTCACTAATAATGTTTCTCTTAAAAACACAGTCCATTGTACTCGTACTATACATCTTGGATATATGTCTAATGTTAAATAGGGCATCTAAAGTGACAATCTGTGTACACGAGAGAGAGGAAAAATAAAGGAATATGAGTGAAACTATGTAAGAGACCCACAGTGAATTATGACTTCTCATAAATAATAATTCGTCTTACCGCCATGTCAAAGCAGCTGGCTTCACATCCTTTATCACAGTCAAGTGGGCTGAAAGACACCAAATACACAGTTGTCAGTGTTCTTGATTGGCAGTTGTGAGACTTGGAAAGGATATTTGTGCTGTTCTTACGTTTGTCTGCCTGCGAATATATTCTGTTTTACCATGTCCACTTGCTGGCTTTGGCTAGTTCACAACTCTGTCTTACTGTTTTTGTTTCAAGTACTGCATGATGCTGAAAGATGAGAAGTGAAACATGCTGCCGCTCTTC